TTTTTTTTTGGTGGTACTGGGGATTGAACTCAGGACCTTGTGCTTGCCAGGCAAGTACTTATTCCATTGAGGTATCTCCCCAGCCCTTGACTCTTCTTAAGTCACTGATACAGCTCAGATCTCAGATGGTATCCCTGACCTGGGGGAGATAACTCAGTAGAATAAGCGCCTGCCTGGCAAGCGCTGGTCCTGAGTTCAATCCCTGGTACTGAAAAAAAAAAAAAAAAAAAAGGATCAGATGGTCTCCCTGGGAGTGGGACTGTGGAAGGGTGTGCTCTTGTCTCCACCTCTCTGCTCCCTTGCTGCCTGAGACCTAGCCGGCCACAGACTTACACGGTGACCCCACATCAGTCTTCTCATTGAAGCCCTGAGTGCTGTGCAGTTTGTCTCAGTGCCAGGAGAAGCTAAATTACTTCGCAGCTCCTTGTCTTAGCCTTCCAGATAGAGTACCAGGAGGCTGGGCACGGAAGAACAGCAGGCACCTGAGAGTAGGGACTAGAATCTGTTTATTTGCTGTTATTTTAACCATGGCACTCAGAGGATATGGGTGGGAGGTCTTAAAGAAATGGCAAATGTTATATATAACCTCCAAAGAGCCTCTCTAGTTGTTGGCATATAGCAATAATGCCATGTAATATTTAGAAAAAACTTAAAGAAGATGTGGTCTGTAAAGAAAAGTTCAGACAAATGTAAACACATCTCACTTGGTAAATATTTAACTTAGGAAAATAAACAGTAGGCTGTTAAGCTCTTATGATTTCACTTTGATCTCTACAAATATAGCAATATACAGGGTTTTACTCTTTTAATTTGGACGTGGCAACTGTTATATTTTAAAAGGAAGATACATCCTCAGGTGCCAGTCTGCTGAAATGGCAAAGGCTGGTCAGTCCAGTTCGCGTGCATCGGGAAGAACTGGGTGGGCGCCAAGCGGCCTCCCTGCTGGCCTGCACACGGCCACGGCACTTCACAGCGAGCTCTCTGAGGAGACTCAAAACCACACCCTTTACAGTTGCTTTTGCAAACACTGACATTGAGACTCCTGCTTGCTTTGCAGGGAGAACTTTAGGGCTGTGAACTAGAATCAAGTTTTAGTGTGTGCATGTTTACATTATATATGCTATATATACTATATGGTGATAAAGATACACAGTCAATGCTTAATTAAAGAAATTATTACAGTAGGACACACTGCCATCACCCTGTCTCACAAGACTGGCCTCCCCTCCATCACACCCATCCCACTGTTCTCCCACTTCCTGAGAATGTTCTGGAAGTCTCTTCTCATGTCTCTAGGAGGTGCAACCTGAACAATGCTAAGCGCTGCTGCCACGCCCAGGCCCAGAGACGCAGGCCTGCGAACGCCCCTGTGCCTGGCCTCATCCACCTAGTCACTGGACCCGGCTGGTGCTGTGCGCTGGCAGGCTCTTTCCAGGGCCACGGTGACTTCTGTAAGGTAAATGTTCTGAGCTGATCCTGCACATCCGGGGCAGCCAGGCCTGTGCGGCTGCGCGCACTTATGAGGGAAGACTTTGGGAAGTGCTCCCCAAGTGGCAGAGCAGTGGAGCAAACGGGTTCAAAGTGAGGGGGCGCCTTTGAGGAAGACCAGTGACAAACTGTGTCTATTACTATAATTAAAAATCATATCATCCTACTTTTGATTTCATGATAAAGACTATATATGCGCACACACAGGCATAAAGACTGTATGCACAGGCATATGTGTGCATCTATAAACATAAAAAGAACAACTTTTTTATATTTTTCAAGGTGGAATTTAGTGAACAAGAGGAAAGGCAACATCTGAACGACTTGTTCAGAAGTTTCACGGGAACTGAGGCCTCACGCTTCACGCCTTGACTGACCGTTCCGTTATGCGTGGCTCTTCTTTTCCACATGCCGGATTTCCTTCTTCGGCTTCATCTTGTAAGCTTCTCCCTGCTTTCAAAGGAATATGCACATTAAGATTTCATGGCGGAAGACTTTCAAAGTGGTTCCCACTCTGGTCCCAGGAGCTGCGTTAGGAGAGCTGGAACCTTTCCGTGTGCTTCTGTCATTTCACACCCGGAAGTACATGCAGGCTATTTGGCTTAACTCCCGGGCCTAGTGTCACCAAGGCAAAAACTCCCAGGCCTAGTGTCACCCCACTGCCAGAATGAACACAGTGTAACCGGATTTCACACCAGTTCCATAGGTTAGTGGTTAAAGAAGCAGCAGCCTATCCATTTCTTGTAGTTGCCTAGAAGAAATCATCACCAAACTTCACAAGGCACTCAAATCCCAATCTAAAAGAAAATTAATGAACCCTAAAATATTTTAAGCCAGCAGCAGAACGATTGTAATGAAACAAGTTGTTTTTAGTAAAGCACTAATGAAGAACTATATACCATGGCAATACTGTTACCGGAGGGACTGTTTGCATTCTTCTACTTTTATGAAATTGCCAACACTGTCCTCTTATACCTGAGCCACAGCGGTATCAACTGCCAGCAAGCTCGCTCTGCTAAGCTCCAGGAGCACAGTTCTGAGAGTAAGGCTGTCTTGCAACACTGAGGTTTTACTTTATTACTTATCAAAGAAAACACAAGTAGCCCTCTTTAGTCTTCTGAGCTAGTCCTGAGGAACTGTCAATTCATTCTTTCCCTCTAAAAGAAGTCTACTGAAGGGCGGGGGAGATAGCGCAGTAGTATAAGCGCTTGCCTGGCAAGCGCAGGGTCCTAAGCTCAATCCCCAGCACTGAAAAAAAGAAAATGCTTTAAGGGCCTGGGGAAATGGCTCAGTAGAATAAGTGCTTCCCTGGCACTTATCCTGAGTTCAACCCCTGGTTCTACCAAAAATAAAATAAAATAAAATAAGTCTACTGAAGTTTCTAGTTTTAAATAGGAGAGGGCAAAAAGACCTGGGAAACAGAACTGAAAAAGAAGTAGATGTTTTCTTGAGAGGTGGAGATTTGTTGGAAGGAATTACACAGTTTGGGGAGGACTCTGGTTCTGTAACTGGCCCGGTAGAGAGAGGCAGCCTCAAAGAGGAGAGCCTGCTCGGTGAGATGCAACACAGATTTCCCTATAGGGTATGACAGAAAGGGCAGTGCATAGATCAGACGCAAACACTGTGAACTGTGAGTTCTGTCACCCTACTGCTCAAATCCTATCCTTTAGATTGCCCTCTATTGTGTCCTAGGCAGACACAGACCACTGGCCAAGCCCTGGACGGGATGTGGGCAGCCCCGAGGGATCTAGTGGTGGTCAAAGTTTTATCTTCTTTCTTTCTCAAGAGAAAGGGCCCACACTGTCCCCATAAAGGAATTTATCTCTGGAGAGCTCCGAACACAGTGAGCACTGCGTACAGTGTCACTAAGGAGTGTTAGGGAGAAGTCTTTCTTTCCCGCTGATCAAATGCCAAAGTCAAAAGCAGCAAAGGCGTCAAGCTGCCACACTGCAGACGCCAGCCCGCTAGCAGCGCTTTTAGGGCGCAGTCAAAGCTCTAATCCCCCACTTTCTCCTGGCAGCCCCTCTCCATTACCACTTCATCCCGTCTCCTCTCTTGCGGGATAATTCGCCTTATTACTTTCCGAGTGATCTGGAAGAAGCAATAGTGAAAAGGAGAGATTTTTCTGTTTCCCGGGGTGGCACTGTGGCACAAAAGCAGCAATGTTTTTAAGGCAAGAAACTTAAATTCCAAGAGAAGCATGAGATCTCAATGATGGTTACTTTTCTGGTGATGAGGTTTCCTTCTTCATCAGTAAACTGCTCTTCTGTGACAGATTCACCGGGGATGTTTTTTGCTTCCTCTCCCTAAAGGGCGCGGCACAGAGGTTAGCAATGTACCAGACGAAGGGGACACAGCCACAGCACTGCAAACACCACACACATGCTCTGCAATTCTAAAAAAGCAGCAGTGAGTTCTACGTGCTGCTCCAGAGTGAGAGCAAAAGGCAGACCTCACGGATGGCTAGGGGCAGTCAGCAGTCTTCAAGCACTAAACTGCAAGCGCGTGGAAGAACGGCAGTCAGCAACCAATTCCAAGAAGAAAGATTTGCAAAAGGTCACTAGAATACAGATACGCACAGGTAAACCAAAAGGCTTCATTTGTTGGAAAGAAACATTTCAGCCAATGATTGAGCTCTGACCCTGAAAAAGGGGTCTCTTTCTTAGTTCCACTTCTAGGGATCTTGTGAATTGAACTTTGTCAGTTGAACTAAGACCCTACCTCAGTGGGAGTATGCTATGTATCATCTTTGTTTAAAAATTTGCTTACTGGGGCCAGGGAGATGGTTCAGTAGAATAAGCGCTTCCTTGGCAAGTGCAAAGGCCTGAGCTCAATCCCCGGTTTCCAAAAAAAAAAAAAAAAAAAAATTTGCTTACTAAGAGTAAGTAAACATTTTTGGAATGATTATGAAAAATGTCAGGGCCTAAAGCAATCTTACTTTTTTATTTTTGCCCAAGCTTTTTGTAGGACTCCCGTGAGAATAACTGTCTCATGAAGAATGTAGGTTAAGAGTCCTATCACAAAGGGAAAGAGTCTGAGGTGATAACCACCTCCACTGCCGTAGGCCAAAGTGTGTGTGTGTGTGTGTGTGTGTGTGTGTGTAGGGGAGAGGAGGACAAAAGCAGTACTGAAGGAACTTAAAATCGTATCTTTTAGTAACTGCTCTTTGATTTAGAAGTAGAAACTGTCAAAGTGTAGTGAGCTAAATAAGTTCTCAATTTCCTGCTCATGAGGAGTTTGGTGGATTGAGAAGTCTCCTTAGCACCTCTTCATCTGCTTTATGGCTTATAAGAGAAACCCTTCCGAGAGCAAAAATCAGGGCTGTGCTACAACATTACCTTCTTCACTAACGTTCAACTGGCCATCTGTGCTGCTTATATTTTTTAAGGGAACAAGGAAAAGTATCTTAAATGTGGACTTGTACTTGAGGGGCCCAGTGACCGGATGGTCAGGCTTGTTGAAAAGGTGAGAAGGATAGTTCAGCACCCTGACAGGAACAATTTTTTGGGGAAAAACAGCAGATTCAATCATAGCCACATTTCTACTTTTCAGTGTCACTGGCAGGGAAAGGGTGGTGGCCTGGATGGTCCTGTCAGGGTGCTCAATGCTGACAAGACTGTGTGCCTGCCAACCAGGAGAAAGCAAGTCCTGGCTTAAAGCAATGGAGAAAAGAATGAAAATTAACTTGCTTTTCTAACAAAGTTCTGTTTTCATTATTTACTTTTTAAACAATTTGACTCTGGATCCTTAGCGTCCAGGCACACAGATCACAGCCGCAGGCAGGGCACAAGCCTCACCTGCCCTCACTGTGGCGCAGGCGGAAAGAAGCGTGTCCTGCGCTCCAGGTACCTGCTCCTTAATCTCACAAGAAGCATGTCCTGCGCTCCAGGTACCCGCTCCTTAATCTCACTTAGCTTTAGTGACCATGACTGTCTAATGTACTAAAGTCAAGTGCTTTGGGAGACTGTTACTTCTGTTTCCTATGGCTGGTTTCATATACTTAGAGAATAATTTTTTAAAGTTTTAATTTTCTAGAAAATAAAGACCTAAGGACAGCAAAAGCAGCAATAAAATGTCATAAAAATTTTTGCTAGGGGCCGGGAAGATGGCTTAGTAGAACAGTGCTTCCCTGGCAAGCACAAGGGCCTGAGTTCAATCCCAGGTTCTGAAAAAAAGAAGCTAGTTTAAATGTGAATCAGTAAAATATTTTTGAGCTAATTTTTTTTTTTTTTTTTTGTGGAACCAGGGATTGAACTCAGCCCTTACGCTTACCAGGGAAGCGCTTATTCTACTGAGCTATCTCCCCGGTCCTAGAGCTAATTCTTACAAACAGCCAGCTCTGAGTGGTACGCAACTATAGGATCTCGGGGGAATGCAGCAAAACAGAGCCCTGTTGAGCATGTCATGAATGAATCCTTTTTTTTTCCGGTAGTGGGGATTGAACTCAGGCCCTTGCACTTGCCAGGGAAGCGCTTATTCCTCTGAGCCATCTCCCTGGCCCCTTTAGTAACTATTTTAGACAAACGCTGCCACAAGTTGCAAGTGGAAATGACAACATGCATGTGTTTACATGTCATTTGTCTTTATACCCCTGATAGAAGCATTGCATGTCATAATTTTTACTTCCTTTCCTAGAGTTACTTTTTAAATATATTTTTAGGGAAGGGTCTGCAGGGTGTTCTGGGTCTCACTCCTAGATCGGACTGGTAGTGATCCTCCCGTTTATAGCCTCCCAAGAGCTGGGATTACAGGCACATGCCACCACACCCAGTTTCAATTGCCATTTTAGCACACCTGGGGGGCAGGGCCGGCACGGCAGGCTCGTGGATCAAACCCCCATCCCCTGTGCCTACTTGCAGGTGCTTTAATCCACTGAGCTATTTGGCCGGCCCTTTTCCTAGAGTTTTTAAAAATAAATTAAATAACAGTATGAAATAGACCAATTTGCTTTGATGTACATTACATGATAAGACCTGGATATTCCAAAACTAGGATAGATGTATTTTGCAAAAAGCAAATTTTGGGCCACAGATATAGCTCAGTGCCTGCCTGGCAAGTTCAAGGATCTGAGTTCAATTCTGGGTACCCCCTAAAAGAAAATTTTCTAGTATCATTTATAGTATAATTATCGTTATAGTTTAGCAAACCCTATTGCATGAGTGTGTTGTGTGTGTGCACAATACACACTGACGTATGAATGCAAGAACAGTTTGCAAATAATGCTTATTTCTGGGAAGTGGAATGGGTAGGCAGAACTTCTGAACTGCTTAATCTGAGGAAAATACACATCTATTCTCTGATTAAAATATGTTGAAAATTGAAAAAAAAATGTAGTTGTGCTATATTGTGAAAATCAACCACTGAGAACTTACTACACTTCACGGTAGTTTGTCCGTGAGTTGGTTTAAAGTTTTTATTTTAGCATTCAATAAATTTGCTAAGCAGTGTAAGCAAGCTTACAAAACTGCTTAACAGTTTAAACTGACTCTAAGCATTTGAAACTACTACTACATTTGTGATATTATCAAATTATCTAGAAATAAGTGATTATGCTGATAAACTTTAGAAGTCCCATAATGAATGGAAGAATTTGACCAGACTCATTCCATAATGATTTGAAACCATTAAGTGTAAAAAAGAATTACAACTCCATTAAAATGAGTGGATTCACATAAAAGTAAAGATAAACATCATCAAATCATACTTTCATCCCATTTATCGTACAAGTTGCTAAGACTTGTAGCCATGGATTTCTGACCATGTGAGACACTTCCCAGACAAAGCGAGCTCTGGAAGGGACGGACAACCCCAAAAGAGAGGGATTAACATGACAGACAGTGTAACTATGGGCTCAGCCCAGGGTTAGATTAGCATGGGTGCCGCAGGTCAGATTCCCAGCATTCCGACCCCATCAAATAGCTTCTAGTAATGACAGCCTAATACCACTATTATCTTTGCCAGTGGAAAGGTCTGAGTGGACAAATCCTTGACTTAATCTCATAAAAAATGCTCCTTCTATTTGTTCTGGAAGAGAAATACAGCATGGAGGGAAGAGTACTTCATTCGAGTGGTTCTGACCCAGAACCATTCTTGCCCAACTGTGTGATTTTGAGCAAATTAATTCATCTAGTTTTGTCAACTAGGAAAACAAATAATTTTAGTCTGGGTGGTCCCTCTAGGGCCTGACATTGTCATTTTATGTTGCTGAAACAGATGATTTCCATGTCCTATTTATTGTGTTATTATTACGGGCCTTTAGCTCTTTGTACTTTAGAAAGATAGCAACATACGGAATAAAGAGAAATGCAATAGAAGTGTGATTCTCCAAGTGTTCCTGGAACCTCAGTGGGAAAGTATTAACCAGGGGGAGCCTATATATGTGGAGCTTACGCTTTCTTTGTTAGACCTGTATCTTCCGAGATAACTATAGTGATTCTCTAGCCAGTTATAAAACTCTTTCTCTGGTGATTCCATTCATGAGATTCCTCTAAAATTACACCAACTTCAAGTAGTAGGGATTTGGGGGAGGGGATAGGACTCTGCTTTGTGAAGCCCACAGCACCACAGTACATTTGTTTTAGACTTGTGCCCTTAATAAATTGATGTGTCATCCATTATTAATCAGGTTCTCATTCTAATAAAATTACTTATAAGTTAGTTTGCAGATGCATTTCTAGAGCGCTAGGAAGTCAAAAGGAAGAATTCTCATGGGCTGGGAGCACGGGGGTGGGGTGGGGCAGATGCTGCTGCTGCTGCTGCTGCTGCTGCTGTTTTGTCTTTTGAGAAATGCATCTTTCCTCCCTGCTTTCAAGATAGCTGTTCTTCCCTCTTTCTCTTTCATGACTGTTTTCTTCTTTTATGGGAAAGTCTGTTCTGTATGGGACAGCTGTATAAAGGAGATGGGGAGGCTGTGGAGGCGCAGGAGTAAGTCATACACAAAGCATAAAATCAAGTTGGAAAACAGCCTCTCTGCTGTGGCTTTTCTAGACTTTTCCCTTTAAATTACCATTCCTTGAAGATACGTATGGTGAGACCAGCAAATGTGAGCAAAAGGTATGCTATACACGCACCTGTGTCTAGAAAACCTGACTCCAACAGGACTCCCCTTTCTGCCCGGAGAACACACGATGGGCGACTGGTTAGAAGGATTTCGTAGACAGCAGGTGGAATACTCGCAAATGCGCTAGACAGCCATCAGTGATTTGTTTGCCTGTGCAGGATTTCTGAAGTGATTCATGCATTTTTTCCCGAGAGTTCCCCATGAGCTCACAGTTAACTGGGGGAAAGCTCAAAATTTAGATGAGGACTTAGTTTTTCATGGTTTCTAGTCTTACAACCACTTCGTCAGCGCAGGCCTGACAACTCCTCCTCTTCTCTCTACTGCTCCTCCTCAAGAGCACAACAGCTGGATTCAGAGGTGTTTGGTATCAAATCGAGCCTCTCTCTGGGGTCTCCTGCATTCCAGGACTGGGAAAACTTGATAAATAGTCTTCAATAGATATTTCTCTTCCTTTCTCTCCACAACTGGCAACCAAGGAGCTTTAAGTGCAGTGGAAAAATAGCCACCTAGTTCTTTGTATGCAATTATTCTGACATCAAGAGAGCTTCCTTTAAAAATAGAGAGTGAAGACAAGCAGGAGATGGCAAGAGCGTTGTGGTGGATTTTGCCATCCATCAGGTCAGTGCTTCAAGAGGCCTTGGTGGAGAAAAATGTCATGATTTATAGTGTTCTCAATTTTGCTATGCTGGGGTGGAATTAAATGTTTCATTTCTAGCAAAAATTGCTTCCTATACTTAGGAATATAACTTAATGTTTTTGTGCAAGTTCTCATAGTTAAAAACCTACTTAAGTTTTGCTACATTTGCATTATGTCACCTATACTTGTGCCAAGCCATGGCCTAAAAATTTCAACCAGGAGTTAATAATGAAGAATTGATTTTTCCTGTAAATCTTATGGCAGTAGGGATTTGGGACAAGTGGAAAGCTTTTATTTCTTTTGTTCTTCTTCAGCTTACTTCATACTTCATTAGTCCTTGAGGTTTGGGTTGAACACTGAATTTTATGTGATCTACTCTCCCATCTAGACAGAAGTTTTGTTCAAGCATATCACATTTTCCAAGAAAAGCCAGATGCAAATGCTAAGAATTATCAGATACAGTTATAACTGCCACATGTCAAACAGGCCTACATCAAACACACACTACCATGCGACACAATTTTCCTTTCAGTTGTTGCTTTTATAAGCTTTCAAGTATGCAAAGAAAGAGAGCCACTGAGGTATCAAGCATGCTGGAGTTTTAAGATCACATCAAAGGAGTTTCTAATATTTTGCGATGTCCCGCAGCGGTCCGGCTACAGGGTACCTTTATAATCAAACGCCGGCGAACAACTCGGGTAGTGACTCTCCGTTCCTCCTCTGAGCTTGAATCATTCTCACTGTCTTTCAAGTCCTGATAAATGCATTTTTAGTATAATTTTACCATCACATTTTAACATAAAAGACATTCTGAGAAGAAAAATCAAGCAAGAATGATATTTGCTGGTTTTTTTCCACCACTAAGGAATGTCATCATATATGTTACTGAAATCTTAAAATTTAAGTGGAATAAAGCTTTTATTTTCGATGAGCTGGGGATTGAAGTCATCCCTGTGCGTCCTTGGCAAGTGCTCTATCACTGAGCTATATTCCCAGCCCCTAATTTTTGAGCAGCATTCAAACTACTCTGTATGTGCAGATAAATTTCAATGTAATTTATTACAATTTATTAAAAAATAAGTATAGAACATTTTTGGCTTCTGAAACAAAATGCTATTTGTTTGTAGAAGTATTCATATTTCTTTTATAATAGTTTTGTATTTATATTCATTTGACTTAGAGCTATAATAACCTTGTGCTTTGGGTCATATTTTGCTTTATCTACAAAAAGAGGTATGTTTCTGATGTTTATAAAAATTTGGTTAAATGTGATAATTTCATCCAAAGCTTTTTGGAAATTTACATCAGCATAATTTAGTACATGTATCTGTATCACAAAATTCTTATTAATAAATGGGCAGTAAGAATTTAGATTAAGGTAAGATGTGAGATTATAAAATATATAAAATAGCACACTTTATAGAAAATAACATGGTACAGATAAGAATCTAGTAAATGTACAAAATACTACTTTTTAGGAGATAAGGATAAGAAACAGGAAAACAACCAGCTGGCAAATACTATGTAATTCTAAAGGAAAAACAACTATTTAATGGCCATAGTAAAGCATATTTACTGAATGATTTTATTTTTAAACTGTAGTGGTGCAATTTTGGTAGTTACTTGAAATCTAGTTGCCCTGAAGATGAGTGTTACAGTTAACAACCATCAGAAAAATGAATGATAATATTTGTTAAATTAGTGAACAAAGTGCAAGGTGTAGGTGTTAGATAATACCTTTTATGAAATGCTAGTTCAGTAAATAACGAACTAGGTCATTCTTTTCACCAAAGGTGAATGTAAGTATTTTAAGATGTTTGAGTAATAGCAAACTTGACTCTATAAGAAATTTTATTTGAACAAAATATCCTACTGAATAAGATGGCTTCAAAATGAAGTAACAGCCAGTATTTTTGCAAGAAATAAGAACTTAAAACTAAGTTTTCTATTCTAGTTTAAAAGTTTTCCAAAAAAGGACAGTAAATTTGGGAGATGTTGAAGGATCTAAAAACTACATTATAAGAGGAGAGGTCTCGTGGTTCCAAAAGAGCAGAAATGGAATTCCCACTCAAGAAAGAAAATACAGCTTTCTAATGGGTTGGATGAGGCAAAGGGAAAGGGGAATCTGAATGATCCATACATAGAATCTTAAATTGGGAAAAGGTTTTCACTGGGTAGATTGAAAAAGCCAAAGAATATATGTAATGCAAACCCAACAACATAGATGTCAATTAGATAGCAGTCCCATCAAACACCCTGAGACCAGCCCCTGACATAAGGAAAAAGTGACTGTTGGGCTGACGTCTCAGAGCCCACTGTTGCTCTGGAGTCTGCTAGCCTTACGGTGCAAAGTACAGAGAACACAGCGGCACGGTCTGAGGATCGGGTTCCTTTAAGGCAACTCTCTAGGCAGGGGTGGTACACAGAGAAACTTTAGGAGAGCAAATGGGATATTCGCAGTGTTCCTACATGAGCTCTTGCATGAAGAGGTGAAAAATAGCAGAATTTTACCTTGTAGCAGCAGGCCGTCATCCGTGTGAGAGCAGCACCCGGACTTTTGACCTGATTTTTTAGGGGATAAAAAGGGGGCTGTTTTCTGAGGTCGTACATCAGATAACCTACTGGGTTGCTACTAGAACAGTAGAGCGCAAGAGACACAATCTGAACATGTCGGGATTCCTTGTGAGTTCAGACTTATATTTCCCAGAGGCTTAAACTCCACATAGATTGTAAAGATCACATACTAGCAGGACTGGTAACCAATATGAAAGGGAGGGGCTCTATTTTTTTTTTTTTTTTTGGTGGTATCAGGGATTGAACTCAGGACCTTGTGCTTGCCGGGCAAGAACTTATTCCACTGAGCTATCTCCTTGGCCCCCTTAGGGACTCCTTTATAAGAAATGTTGCAGGTGCTTTCTAATAGTAATTACTTTCCATTACTAATGAATTAAGCTGAGTTTCCACTCAGAGTTAAGCTCTTCACTGTCAACCTCTGCACGCCAGAGCCAGTGCGTATGCCACGGACACTGGCAGCAGTGCTTATTCATACTGTGTGACGGCCATTTCCAGAATATCTATGTTAGTATAAACAGACTTTCACCCAATAAATCTTTACAGATGAAATATCACCACGCCACTATCTCCTATATCTTGTGAGCTTGCCTTACAAGGGAACAGTCTATCCAAATTCATTCTGCTAAATATACTAAGAATCAAGTAACAGACAACAATCAGTGTTTAAAATCACACTTGTCATGAAGGAAGTCAAAGGCCTGAGAAAGACTCCAACAAAAATGCTCAGGAGCAAAACAGAGAAAGAACCCAATGTTCGATTATTGGTTGCGGTAATCATTTGCTTTACTGACCTCCTAAAATAATCTCCAGCTCATTTGATCAGCACCTGCACTAAATCTCAAAACAAACATCAATGGAAAAAACAGATCACAGCTTGACTTCCTCTTACTTTCCCTTCTAGTCAGCAGTACAATAGGCAAAAGGCAAAGACAGGCTGTAGTTAGTTGCTAAGTGTGAGTCTTCTTCTGCTATAAGCTTTACAGGCGATCTGAAGAGAACTGTCTGTGTCTCAGGGAGGACTCCTGTGCAGCTGTCCCAACGACACGTAATTCTCAGCCTGTGTCTGTGGCATAGTTGACAAAGGACGCAAAACTTGAGAGTAGGAAAAGTAGGGAAAGTATAGCAAATGCAGCCCGTCTTTGGTTTCTTATACCCATCTCTGAGTCATAGTTTCAGCTTAAAATATTTCAATATCTAAAAAGAAAAATGCACTAGAGGATGTCACAAAAACATATCAACACAAATTGCAAACAATTCTGCCACAGTGAAGCTTTTGAACTGCCAGAAAGAAATCTTAATTATCAGCAGATATAAAGACAGTACAGCTAACTTCAAATTTGACAGCAGTCAACCCACCGCATTTTCAACTTGGTGATTTTTGTCTCTCCAATTTTAAAAATACTTTCAGATAATACATCTTATACAATAAGAATCTTAGATAGGTCAAATTCTATATATACCCACACTCACTAGCTTGAACCACTGGTGGCATGGGCCTGGCTGTCCCGTACGATGCAACTGTACTGCTTGTACAGTGGCACAAGTCATCCAATGGGACCAACATGCATGTACCAGGGGTTGAAGCCACCCAGCAGTAAGCATATGAATTATGGCCTCTTGTGACTGTGTTAAATTATGCTGAGAAAACAGAAAGGGACAAAATTACTCTCCACTAAGAAAGATGATTAGGTTTGGAGGTAGGAAATGGAAATTCCAGACAAAATTAATGTTGGACTTCGCAGTAGTTCCTTAAATGTCTCTATAGTTCTTTACCCTCCTGAAAATGCCTACAGAGATGCCACTTTCTTTTTCTACCTTGGCAAGGAAGGTATGATTAAATGGCCTGTGTTTTCCTGAGCACGTTCTTTACCCTCACCATTCCTACCACAATGTCACCCATTTGTAATTTAGACATAGCAAAGAATCGTGAGTCTGGTAGTACAGGTACAACCAAAGGAAGGGGAAGCATCAGAGCCACGCATTTCAGGGAGCCTGGTGGTGACATGACGACGTACCTTTGGCTCTGACCCACTGGAACCCTCCTCTTCGTGAAGGTTAAACCGTGGCTTGCCGTCAGCAGCAGAAGTCCTGCTCATCTTTTTCATGCTGACAGGCACGCAGGGTTTAGGCTCTGCTGTGACAAGCTTGCTGGTTTCTTCCAGAGATTTCTGATACGCTGCTAGTGGCGATGGTGGCTCCTCCAGACGGCCAGGTCCGTGTGTTTTTGGTTTCGGAGTTTCCTTAGCACTCTGCCTTCCTGCGTCACTCTGGGGTTCTGGAAAGTGAGATTTCGCCTTTGTTTCGGGAGTGGCTTCGGCATGGCTGCCATTTGCTTCAAATTTTCCAGCTTCTCCTTTGAGATATGAGGTAATAGAATCTCTACACTGCTCGGGGCTGGAAGAAATAAAATAGACGAATTATGATGGGAACACACGGCTCAGAACCCCTCAAGTTCTGAGGTGTGAGGAGGTTTCCCTGGGTTCCAGGCACCCCAAACCCCATTCTAGCTGACTGTGTAGCCTTTTTCAAAGAATTGTACCTCTAACAGCCACTTAAGTGCTATATCTTGGAAGGTATTCATGTGCAAATTATAGTTCCAGCCCCACCAATCTAAAAGGGGAGGATACTGCAAAACATTGTGGTATCATTCATGCAAATAAACAAATAAAATATCTCCTAACAACACAGTGAATTGCTGAAACTCTGGCAGTCCTAAGGACCTCTAATTTCGGTTCTGCATGTGTTTTCAGGTAGGAATCCAGTTTTCACACTTTTCTAATCATAGTGCTTCTACCCAAATCCTATCTCTTCTGACTCCTGACTTCTGCGGACGTCCCTGGTGAGCAGATGCTGGTGCAGCCCTGAGTCTCCACTTATTTTGAAGAGTGCTTTCATTAGCTATTAAAAATATTTTTTTTAATGGATTTCTGGGGCTGGAGTTTTAGTGGCATAGTACCTGCCTGGCAAGCATGAGGTCCTGAGTTTGATTCCCAGTACAAAAGAACCCAAAAATGGATTTCTAATTTTTTTCTATTGTTTCAGTATATTTAGTTTGTAGCTTATATATTACTTTTAGTGTTTTTGCTTATACCTTGTTGAAAGTAACATATAGTACAGTGATACTACTTATAAAAATATACAGTAACATATACTATACACTGTACTTGTGCCTGCTCTTTTAAATCAAGTTTTTATGATCTGAGCACATTAATGTTAAGCGGCTAGCAACAGTATATTCTATTCTGTGTGTGTGTGTGAAGACAAACTTAATGTACTGTGAAAATGGTGTAAGATCCGTACCTCTATGAGCTCTAATTTTGTTCCCCAGCCCACACTGTTTGCCTGACTCCCCGTACCCGTGCTTATACCAGCAGCAAAGTTACTGTCATTTTCCTGCTTTTGTGCAGTAAAATGACTAAGTTTTTCTTCTCTATAACTTATTGGTAGAACCTCTATGAAATAATGGATTCTAGCCAGTTTAGTAATAATAATGAACACCTTTCCTATATTTTAATTTACTTCTTGATAAGCAACTATATATAACATAACCACATTTTTTTTTTTTTCTGGGATTTGTCTGTATTAATTTGTTCCTGTCTCAGGCTTAATCCCAGCACTCCGAGGAGGTTGGGGCAGAAGGACCACTACAAGTTCCAAGCCAGCCTGGACTGCAATAATGAAACACTGTTTCAAAAAACAATTGTTTTACTTTGTCTGTCTGTCTGTCTGTCTGTCTGTCTCTCTCTCTCTCTCTCTCTCTCCCTCCCTCCCTCCCTCCCTCCCTCCCCCCCTCCTTTCATGTGGCCTAGGCTGGCCTTGAACTTGTGTTGCTCCTCCTCCCTCAGCCTTCCAAGTGGTGGAAATGCAGGCACCACCCCTACCATGCCTGGTGACCTTTTGTTTCTGCTGTTGTTGTTTGAGACAGAGTATTGCTCTGTGTCTGAGAAGGATTGTTTTTGGCTGGTTTAGACTGCTTTAAGGATGGGGCTGGTACAGCCGTGGAGGTGGGAATCGAACTGTGGTCCTCCGCGCCTGAGTTTGTGCACGCGTGGGCTTTAAACAACTGAGCTGACCGGCAAGCTGCTCACGACATCTTAACATAAACATCAAGGTTAGTATTATTCGTCTTTTCTATTTCTCTTTACTAAGCTATATATAGAATATGCCTTCGTTTTTCAAAAGGACTTTTTAAACTTCTTTTTGCAAATTTTATAGTCTCTCTTTGTGAATTTTTGTGGGCAAGAGGCTTACCAGAAATAGGAACATATTACGTATGATTATGAAATAGTATCAGCCCTCTCGCCTGCAATGTAAGCGTACCCCTGGCTGCCCCCACCCAAAAGCCGTGGCAGTCTGGCGTGCGGGCGTGGAAACGCGATGGCCACTGTCACCCAGAGATCACTACTCCCACAAGGCCTCCCGGAGGGAGTTTACCCGCTTTCTTTGTGATGTCTGTTCTTGTCTGGGCGAAGTGGCAGTGGAGATACGATTGAAGTGACGTTGTTAGAGCTTAGAAACTTACCTCAATTTGCTAAGTATCTACCTAACAGTGGTAAGATTTGAGCTAACGCCTGGGGGCCTGCTGACGGGCCTTCTGAGAGCTCGCTAATGTAACAACGAACCAGGCTCACCTGAAGGGAATTCTCTTGGTAGAAACGGCTTGGCAAACATATCTCATGACATTTTAAAAGGAATGAGATACAGAAAAGTAGGAAGGCATGTACAATGTTTTTCTCAGTATGGTAGGAGGACAGACAGATGCCTTTTCTTTTGGCTTGTCCGTATTTTATACACGAAAATACTTCTTAAAAAATATAGAAGACAGCAGTCCATCAAAACCTTTTCCCTCCCTTTTTGGTCCACTCACTTTTCTCAGTAGCACTTCCAGCAACCTGGAAGGACAGCTCTTCTTACATTACGGTGTTATACTGATTATTTTCAATCTTTGTTTCAAAATTTTGTATAGTGAGCACACTTGTTTATAGGTGAAAACAAGAGATGTTTTAGGGGCACAAGAATATGATACATAATAAATTAGAAAAAAATAGTCTTCTAAAGCTGAAAAAATACAAATGTTTGGCTTAGCTTCCTAACTCAGGTTTTCAAAATTATATTTGAATTTAAATTCACCTTTCTCTTTCCAGAGTAGCGCAATGAACCTCCTTTCAAAGCAGGTATTATCCAAAAGCTAGGCTGGGAATTTCAGAAAGACTCCCGCTTGAAAGTATCTGCTTAAAACAGAGCATTTTGGGGCTGGGGAGATGGCTCGGTAGAATAAGCGCTTCCCCTGCCGGCAAGCGCAAGGATCTGAATTCAATCCCCGGTTCCAAAAGACAAAACAAAACAAAACACAACAACAAAGCATTTTAAACAGATAATCAGCGCTTCCCTTTCCCCCTTTGTGGGAGCCATACCTGTCTCCCAGCCGGTCCAGCAGCGCGCCAGTCAGCCTTCGAGCTTGCGCGGGCGAGTCTGTGTTTCCACTGGACGTCTCGTTCTGCCAACCTGCAATTGAAGACATTTCCAGTTCCGCTTGCTGAACACGTTTAAAAACAGCCTGTACTCTGTCATCTCCTGAGACTCTACTCCTTCTTCAAGTTGAATGTCCTCAAATAGAGACTGGCATTTTGCTTCCATCGTCTCCTCATCAGGACCAGAGCTGCCTTTCCCCTGCTGCTTAGCGCCCAGGCTTACTGGTCTAGTCTGTGTCAAGGGCTCGGCTGCTCTCACAGCCTTTGGGGCCCCAGCCCCACTTCCGAGGTATTGAGGATACTCACTCAGGCATACATCCTCCAACTGGCTCTCATCTACTTCCACTGCTTCAGGCATTTCTGATAAAGGCACTGAGTCTTCCATTTTGCTGTCTTCTAAGGAAGTGTCTTCTGCAGTTACAACTGGAGGTCCATCTGCTGAGTGCACTACATTGCCCTGGGAAGGCGCTAGCCCGTCACTCAGTCTACTAGGGGTCCTAAGGGGAGACTCTATGCTAGAGAGATCACTAAAGTAATCATCTTGCTGCAAGGGGGTGGGTGGTGTGTAGTGCAACCCTGTGGGGGTCTCCAGCTCCACTTGAAGGGGAGGATAACCTATGGAAGACAGTACATTTGGACTGACTGGAATGAATTAGAACACATCAAACAAAAACACATGGAATGACTAAAAGTATATCAGGTATGAAAATGCATGATGAATTATAGAATATGTTGATAAAATTTATTGGTTTAGTTCAGTTAAGTGAAGTACAATGAAATAAAAAGCCAAGTGCGAAGTCCAATAAAACAGAAATGCTAATGAAGATATCAACTGCTTATCAATTTTGGTACTTTCCATACGGTTAACTTAAATATGCAGACTAATGTAATTCAATATAAAATTAGTTGTCATTATTTAAGACATTTATTTCATGGCCAATTATCATTCTAATTTTAGCATGCAAGATTCATACTGTGGTAGACTGAATACAGCGAGCCACAAAAAAAACCCCAAACAATTTTGCAATCAATCACCTATAACTTATTTTAGAAACAGCACTTATGAGCAATACAATACAACTTTAATTCTTGTTTTGTAAGAAATTTACAGGAAAGCTATATGAACTTAAGTCTTTAGAAAGAAATGCCATTAGATTTTTAGAGCAGTAGCACTGGGTAGAAATCTGAAAAGATGTTAGGAAAAGGATTTTAAAAGTAGACAAAGTAGAAAAGAGTCCATGTAAAGTTTCCAGGTGTCGGAATATGACAGAGATGAAGGTTGTGGTACGTGTGGAGGTCTTGGTGAAGTTGGTGGGATCCACTTAGAAACACGAACCAAATAAAGAGAAGAAATGATACACAGTGGAGACAGGAGGAGGAAACCATTTGCAAAGCGCACTCTGAATATTACTGACAATGCTGTGGAACGTGGGAAGGACGGAGCTAACCCCTTGTTTTAAGCATTGCCTGTGTGAACTACAGACATATTTTTCTACCTCAGCAGAGAGAAAAGTCAACAGTGGTCTGGTCATGGTGAGGAAAGGAAGTTTTGTAGAAATTCAACGAAGAGGAGAGGTGGGGAGAGATTTGGAAAAAGCAGCACTGCACATTTGCTGAGCTACTAGGCTAGACACACTGAAGACTCAGTCTTCCATTCAGCCAAGGTAAATGCCCATTAGCTGTGGTTAGGATTCAGATGGCTGCAGGTAAGTGAACATGTCCAGTTATGGACCTTATCAACTAGAATCCTGTGGGAAAACCCGCTAAGATAACCTGAGATTGAGAATGTGTGTAAGTGAAACCCCTGAATTTACCTATGTAGTTTTAGAATAAGAAATAGAAAATACTAAGATACAGCAACAACAAGCCTACATGAACTTCCTTTAATGATACTCTGATTTTAGAATGTTAAATGAAGCTTTCGAGAAAGTTGCTTCTGTGTTTAGTGATCTCTTTAATTAGAGCTACTTTTCATAGTTTCTTTTCCTCCATAAAGAACATTAGAAGAATAATGTCAGTCATATAGTCTGCTATATTATGTCTACTTATGTAGTACAGAAAGCACTTGGTTATTAATACCTGGCCTCACCTATAAGGCTAGTCTTTTTTTTTTTTTTTTTTGTATTTTAGGGAAGGGTCTACAGGGTGTTCAGGGTTTCACTACTAGATCAGACTCTTAGTAGTCTGCCTGTTTACAGCCTCCCAAGAGCTGGGATTACAGGCATGTACCACGTCCATTCTCAATTGCTGCCTCAGTGCACCCCGGGGGCAGAGCCAGTATGGCAGGCCTGGCGATTGAACCCCAGGTCCCTACGCCTGCTCGCAGGCACTTTCATCTGCTGAGCTATTTGGCCAGCCCTAAGACATAGTCTTGATGACAGCTTTTCTTCCAAGGTTGTATTGTATTTCTAAACTTTAGAAAAACATCCACGTTTATTATTTATTGTATATGTATTATATGCATAACAGGTATACTTTAAATTTTCCATTCACTTTAACTTTAGTAAGCAGAAATTTTCTAACATTTTGAAATCTTTTCTCATATAACATTCGCAGCATTAGAAGTGAATGCTTCCTTTTATTACTTTTCCAGTTTAAAAAAGGAAACAAATGAAGCCAGGCAAGTAGTGTATGCCTGTAGTCCCAGCCTTGATGAGGCTGAGGCAGGAAGCGCACAAACTCAAGGCCCTCTGAACTACACAGGGGACTCCAGGCTAGCCTTGGCTGAGCTAAATGGCAGGAATCTGTCTTGAAGGAAAAAAAAAAATCAGTTTTTTTTAAAACTTGGAATAGTAGAAAAGCAGCCCTGCCTTCTCTCTTGGCTTTCACACCATCAACATTTTCTACTCAAAGTTCATTGTAGGAATAAATCCTCATGCGTAGAAGATAAGGCTGTCTAGAAAAAGAGTGTAAGGTATTTATTATGCTATTTTTAATACTTCGATGAAAAAGCCCCAATTTACATTAGGGAAGATACTATTATATAAATTCAGCAAATGTGAGTGAATTATGCTGTTAGTGAGATTTATACTCATTGTATTTGAAAGTATGCTGCCCGTTATCTATACTAGCTGAGGTAGGCTTCTCCCAAATAATAAGTGACAGCATATGAATTAATAAAAATGTTTAATATCTAAAACACTTTGCCAAAGTGTTTAAAGTTTAGTAACTAAAACAAAGTAGACATTTCCTTAAATATTTGGTCCCAGTACAGTAACTCAGTCTTTTACCTAAGAGTGCGCCTACTTTTCACTTGGATCTGACCCACTGCTTTGCTTATTTGGCAGAGCTGCGTTCCCCATGTGGTTTCACATAAGTGAAAGATCACTAGCTGTTTAGTAAATATAGAAACTGAAAGTGACAAAAGCAATGCATTTTCTAGATAGTCAACTTCCATTTGGTCATGGAAAATATCAGAAATCCCAATCCTTCCCAATAGTTAATGTTTATGTATCTCATTATTTGCATTGTATATTCCAGAGGCATTTACCAGGCTTGCTTTGATGTCAGAGTGCTTATATGCACACTCTGCCAGACAAAATGCTGTGAAAATGAGAAATTAAGTCAAGCAAATCCCAATTTAGTTGATTTTCAGTGATTGCCTTGTCCAACTGCACTTTCCAATTTTATCAAATGATTAAATAAATATGAACACTAAATTCAATTACCATCAACAGGGTCATGGAAAACATTGTTTTCATCTGCAAAACTCCTGGTGCCTGAAATATTTCCATAATCAAATATTGGTCCTTCTAGCAGAGTCACTATATCTATCCGATTAATTTTTGTCAAGACCGAAGTTAAGGCATCAGCTGAAAAGGAGAGAAAAAGGATTGAAACCAAGTGAAATTATTTTCTTGTCAGCCCAACACCCACACAGAGGCCTGGCTGGCAGCCCGCTCGGCACAGCCCCTCACCCCGGCTCTGAGCGCCTGCTGCTGCAGGCAGGGTAGGGCCTTAACCACTCTGCACAGCTGTGTGGGAGGAAGGCAGCCGACGGGGTTCATTCCACGCCAGCAGAGCAGACAGGCACTAAAATAGCTGGGCTCCTTTTCTAAGGGAATCGAATGTAACTTCAAAACAGTTCCCTCCCTTTTTCAGAGGATCAAAATAGGTCACTCTTCTATGATGCATTTTAATGTGTTACTAAGGTCAGGTTGACCCAGGCAAATCCACAATAACTCATACCACGTCCCACAGCTTAGAACCGGTCCCAACCCCAGTCTATCAGCAAATTCTCCACAGCTGCGGGGCCAGGTGAATCCCACTGCTAGATCCCTAGCGGATCTTGTCCTCTTTTCTGCCCCTCTGCTAGGACACAGCAGTGTTTCTGATGACCATCCTGTGACATAACAACTGGAATTAGTTTTCCATTTTTGATGGTCAGAGAGAATGGAGGACAAAATGAAAAATATTCCTTGCTGGTTATGTTCCAAAAGGCTTCTTAAAAGCAGATCTTTAGAATGTTAGCACCCAGTTAAGAAATATAGCTTCAAAGTTTGCTAACTCCTCAATTCTCTTGGTTTAATTTCCTATGTTGTATTTAAAAGTTCTGGAATGTAGAACATTTACATGAACCTAACAGTAGGCTTATCTAAAATATTTGGCATATGCAGCTTTGAAAGTTAAAATAATATAATTTTAGCATACTTGTCGCATTTTTCCCGTCTCTGGTAACCCATTTTTTTAATAACATGAAGCTTTGAGAAATTAAGGAATTGGGATTTTCCACGCGTATTTGATTGATTTCATCCACTGAAAAATTCAGTTCCCTTGCCAATTCTGTGAAAAGAAAGAGAGTTACTAAGATTGCATATTCTAGTTTTACTACACACACTTTATAAAAGTAATGTTCAACTGCTACAGGGAAAAACAAAAGGAATTTTATTTTAAAAAAGCTCATTATCGCTGTGGGCCTTAATTTTCAGAGCTGATTTCATAAGAAACTAATGATTGTCCTCAGGCTCTGACTTACTGCTCCTTAGGTAATTATTTGTAATCATATTTCCTTGAGAAATCATTCTATAAATATACTTTTTCTTTGCAGAATGGATGCTGTTTGCTCGCTTTTAAGTCAGCCAAATGCCCTGTAATTTGAGCCAAGGGCATACGACATGGCTATACAATCCATACGTATGACACATGAGCCGCAGCAGGGCTGCCCTAAACCACCTCCTGGAGCATGCCATCCACTCTTTCTGCTTCTGATGCCTGCTAGCTTCGTGAATGCCACTCCAGGTTACAGCACTGCGCTGACACGCAAGAACCTGGGTAAAAAGCTAAAGGGCTCTGGCTTTCTGTTCACGTGCAGCCTCACACGCTCGGCCTGGTCCATGCCAGGAGTATCCCCGGGAAACAACAGACGAGCTAGGTTTTAGCGGCTGCCCTGCAAGAGGGAAGCTTTGGTGACTCTTCCCTGTACATTTTTGTGTTTTTTAAATTATCAAATGTGTAATAACTTAAATGATTATAAAATGAAATGTGGTAAATGCTCCTATAGAAAAGGAATTGGTCAAGATTCTATTTCTGTTAAGGAGTATTTCCAGGGCCAGGGAGATAGCTCAGCGGCATAAGCATCTGCCTGGCAAGTGCAAGGTCCTGAGTTCGATCCCTGGTACAAAAAAAGAGAAGTCTTTCCAGCAAGTTGGCAAAATAAGGTCAGTTTAAAAACATCTTTATCTTGTGACCAAGTGTGTTATCCTGATAACGCAAGGGTTACAAAAATGCCTTGCATAGCTTACTGTTTGCTGCAGATTTGAACTACTGGAAAACTGAAAATACTCTACATATTAAAGAAAAAGTCAATCATTGTGAAGCAGAACTTGCAATTGCTGTGACCGTGGTCTACAACTAAAAATATCTGATGGTGTTTACAGAAATGAAACCAGTTCTCGTTGGAACAAAATTTAGTTTTAATACATGCAGCATACAAATACTTCCTTTTATATTTCATTTAAAAACAAATAGGACTCATTAGTGTATTGTGACCAGTTAAAAAAACACTGTCACAGGTATGGATGTGCTATTTGTTCATTAAAGGCAAGATCTGATTTTGGAGGAAATTATAAAATTTGTAACTGTTATCAGGAATGAAAATGCTGGAAATTGTTAAAAGTCAACACACATTAGGGCACTCACGATGGTTACATTTTCTAATGGTTTTCCTTGAATATGTAGTTCATTCTAATTAGAGAAATTGTATTTGTTAGAAGTTCTTCATCTCTTTGTGTTTTAAGTGACAGTATTCCTATTGCTGGAAGAGCACAAACTATTTTCTGGACACACAAGAGAGCAAGGAGATACTGACTTGAAGGATTTTATCATTTGACCTCTCTCTGACCTTTCTTTTTCCTGTTGCAGTCCAGGGGTTGGGCCTTGAGCACTCTAGGCAAGTGCTCCCTGACTGGGCTGCAATCCCTGGCCTGTCCGACTGCTCTTATGCCTCTGCCTTCTATACTCTGACAAATGCAGGGCTTTTCTTGGTGGTTGTTGTTGGCTTAAGGAAATCTAGTACCTGTGAGCATATAATACTACAAAATCAACATTTGTTCCAAGCGCCAATATATTTTCAGATTTGTTTCTGATATTAAAATATAAATTTGATGACATTTGTCAGCAAATATTGATACCAAACTAGTTCCTTTTAACACTCAACCATCTACAAATAATCACTTGGACCACCTGTCTTAACAGCGCCTCCAGGTTCCAGGTCAGTGGCGACATGCCTGAGGGCAGGGAAAGCTATGTGGTGCAGGAGTTGGGTTACAGGGATGGGATAGGGGGACAGAGGGCATTCACAGGAAAAAATTTAGATGAAGTTGTTCCCCAGTATCCAGTTTCACATTGTCCTTTCATAATGGATAACCACATGGTATATGTCCCTGGTGGTATATAAGATGTCTTTAGATACTATTCCAATAGTATTATTTTAACCATGTTTTTTAGATGTGCATTAATGAAATACATGCAGCCTATGAGACGTGAACTAGCTCAGACTTACGTGATGCAAGATTTTAGGGACTCTGTTAAGATGAACTACAGAGGAGGCCAGGCATGGTGGTATGCTGTGTCATTCTACATAATCAGGAGGCTGAGGCAGGAGGAGTACAAATTCGAGGCCAGCCCAGGCAATTTAACAAAACCCTATGTCAAAAAATTAAAGGGGCTGGGATGCAGCCCTGGTATAGCGCCCCTGGGACTGCACAAAATAAAGTTAAGTGTTGCAAAGCAGCAGGGCTCGGCTGATGCAGACCCCGGTCTTTGTTTCTTATGGAAGCAAAATGAAGCCAAATATTTCCTTCCAATGAAGGAAATGTTCTTTACTTCTTAGCTATATTTGTGAATTTATTTTTTAAAGTATTTATTTTTATATATTATAAAATTTGCTATAGTTTTAAGGTATATTTAGTTTTTAAAGTTTCAGTTCAAACCTAAACTCTCATTTCTCTGTTTTCTTATTCAGACATGACAAGTACTCCATTCCTTACTAGGAAAGTATTATATGGTTTGCTTTTAAATAAATCTTGAACATAAATGTGAGTGCACGCAAGGCAAAGCCTTTGGGCTGGGCAGGGCCAAGCCTGGCGGCAGAGTGCCGCTTAGCACGTGTGAAGCCCGGGTTCAAGCCCAGCAGAAAGGCGTACGCGTCAGCTATGCACTTTATGCGAAACCCAGGCAGGGGCTCACTGACCCACTGCCAAGGAGAGCTGCCCCTCTGTTGTTATACCAGGGACTGAGCGCAGGGCCTTGTGCTTGCAGGGCCGATGCTTACGCCACGGAGCTCTCTGCCCAGCCCAGGAGTTGTTGTATTAGCTCAGGGACTGGAAGCTCAGTGTGGAGCCGCTGTGTAGCATATGCAAGGCCCTGGGCAGCCCCAGAACCGCGATGGGAGAGGAGTTCTGAGGGCGATACCCGTGTTAAAGAATTTGCATCATTTCAAAGGTTTTTAGCTATGTTTTCCTTTATGTTCCCGAGTAAATCTGCTGTGAGGCAAAAGCTTACTTAGGTTAGCACAAATGACATCGTGGAGAAATCCCCTAAACTCGAGGACAAATAAGATTTAAACTTCTATTCCTAGAATATGTACAGAGAAAAATACTGCAGAAAAATACAGAGTATGTGGTGTTGTCAGCAATCATCTGATTACCGATTATGGTGAAGTTGTTCATACTGGTTGCTTGTTTTTATTTTTATTTTTTAAATATAGTGAGCTACAAGAGAACAAGAAGGAAATGGTGAGTGTACTCGTTCCGCTCGGAGCACACACACTTACCTGTCCAGCTAAGTCCCAGGTGGTCAGCCACTATTGCCATCCTGATATCTGTCCGTTCACATGGACTCTGAGGACCTACGATTTACAATTTCTTAATTAAAATAATCATCAAGACAGACAGGACACTGGAAAATTGCTTTTAGCAGTACTCGGGCCTCACAGAGAGACTAAAGCTAACACTGCACACTTAACTGTGTCCTAGCCGCCTACGTGCCACTTTCTCCCACGTGGCTCGCTTGTCCTCCACCTGCATCAGGCCACGTGTCAGACTACATGAATGCTCAATGTAATGGGGTTGAACATGCTGACAAGCTAGCTACTTTACAACAGTTACAGAACTGTCACGTTGGCGAGAACACCGCGATGAGGTTTCGACACTTGTGCTTGTACTTTGACAGAATTACATCCCTTAGCATATAAAGAAAAGTACAAGGTGTCCCTCTGGAGAGACAGCAGTGTCTTCAGCATGCTTCCCTAGCTGTCTACAGTGTGGTGGGGTTAGAGAGAGGAGAGGAGAGCAGAGAAGACGGCACACACAGATGACAATGGCGGAATGGGAAACTACGGGGAGGTCACTCCACAGGCAATCACGACAGTTCATGCACTAGGCGCTACAAGTTGGAAAGTGTTTACAAACTAGGCTGGTCTCCGGGAGGTGAGCGAAGAGTGCTCGAGAAACCTGACTGCCTTCATTCTCACCAGTCCGCCTACTGCTCCTTCTCTCACTGCCGGCCTTTTCACTCTTTGATTTTAAAGCCGCTGCCTCTGTTTTCTTATCTCTAGCAGACTTCGTGGTAACTGAAGGCTGGCCACCCCGGGAAGTCTCGGACAACGACGTGTTTCTTGAGGTACTCTCTTCCTCATCAGACAACTCCGACTGCATCTTTTTGTCTTCTTCAGAGAGGCGGTCCACAAGCTTTAAGGTCTCACCACTAATTCCCTTAAAATATTCAATGGAATGTTTACATACTTCCTTAAGCTGACTTTTCCTGACTTTGGCTGTGGTGGTGGTGGTGATAGTGGTGGTGGTGGTGGTGGCAGTGGTGGTGGCCGTGGCGGTGGTAGTGGTGGTGGTAGCAGTAACACAAGTGGATCTTACCTTTACTGGCAATTTGGATGGAAGCTGTCTGGCCCTGCCCTGCTCAGGCTGTGCTTGCCTTTGTACGGCACATGCTTTTCTAACTGAAGCTAGGTTCTCCCTGTGTGTGTTTTTCACTGGAATTCTGGACTTCGTGTCTACACATGAGGAGCTAGTAAGGGGTCTGGCTTTCTCAGATGGACTAACCTGCTTCGCTTTACTTGCTTTAATGTTTGACCTATGGCTTGGAGGGGAGATATCTTTTGGTGAGGTGGCTTTTATGGGCAGCTTGGATTTCCGCCTAAGCCCTATCGATTCCTTTGTCTTGTGCAGCTCGCCCAGAGCTGGCTGCTTATCTCTGGTGCAGTGTCCTTGTAGTACCCCTGTCCTTTTTCCTGATGAGCTTTTCACTGGGTTAGCCTTCTCTGTGGTACAAGTGGGTACAGGATGTTCTGTCAGAACTATATTACTGATATCTGTCTGCATAGTGGAAGCATCCAGATTGTTGTTGTTATTAAAGTTATCTTTTTGGAAATCGTGTTTTTCTCGGGGACTAGTGCCCGTGTGGCTATCGGCTGTGTTGGAAATCACTGGTGAAGTTTCATTTTCTACTCCCTGACAACTGGGCGTCCCAGCTTCTAGCTTATCTGCTCCTTCGCCAGAACCTTCTTTCTTCATGGTCATAGTGGATGCAGAAATTCCCATTTTTATAGGCGTGCGTGACTTGGGGTCAACTTTAGAGGTGTTAGTGGCCGCTGCTGCTTTGTCCAGAGAGCCACTACCGGATGCGCCTTCCTGACACTCTCGGCTGGTCGGGCTGCTGGGCTTAGGTTCAACTGTAGGTGCCTCTACGCTTCTCTCTAGATTGGTCTCTACAGTGGTGTCCCCTGACTGTGGCTGTGGAGTGGCAGTGACCATGCTGTTATCCCCTTCCCCCTGGTCCCCTGACTTCCCTTCAGAAGTATGCTCACCAATCTGGAAAAATTGGAGCCTTTCTTCAACAAAATCCCTCTTGCTCATGTCAATTGCACCACTGCGAGTCATCTCAAACATTTTTCCTTCATGAAATGGGAAGGGGTTAGGCTCACTAGTCGGGGTACTTTCATCAGTTGGTGTTCTGGCCGGCGTGGTGTCAGGGGTTGTCGCTGGAGAACGGTCTTCCACTGCCAGACCAAATGGCTTCGTTTCATCTTCCCGTGATTTACCATCAAACACTTCATCATCCCCTTGGCTACTGGACCAAGGGTCAAAATCTAGACCTTTGGTAGCTACTGTTTTAAAAGGAGTGGCAAATTCTTCATCTACTTTGTAACTGAAATAAGTATCAGGAAACACCGATCTGTCGGGATGTCTGCCTTCTAGGGTGAAAAACTGGGCCCCTGTCTTCTGATCGGTCTTATCCGGAGGCCTTTCAGGCAAAGAACTTTTAGAGGCTGGCTTCTCTTCTTCTGGGCCCATTTTCTCCTCTTCCTCAATGACCTCCAGTTTACTTTGGCTAAAAGAGCGGTCGGCCGGTCTCAGGATGCCCTCGGAGTTCCAGATGTCTTGCTTCGTTTCCAGGCCTTGGCTTGGGAGTTTTGAGTCACTCTCTGTCAGCACATCTTCATCCTGCAGGTCATAGCCATCCAGAGAGTCAACCTCTGTGGCATCCGTGTCGTGAGAGAAGTCCGCGGTGGTGGCAATGGAGCACTCTGTGATGGACTGGTCATTGTTTCCATTCTGAGCACTTTCGTTCTGGGGCGAGTCAAGGCCGAGGCCCAGCTCAGCATCTTTGCCATTACTTTCCAGTTCTTTCTGGTTGGCAGTCTTTTCGGCCGAAGCTTTGGATTTTGACATTTCTCTCTGTTCTTCATCTACTTCCTTTAACTTGAAGGTGTATTTTTTAACAGGGGCTGGTTGGTACAGAGATTCTTCATCACTGGACTCGCTGGCTTCTGCCCCTGGAGGCACAGGGGAGGGCGGCTGCACTCTGATGACCGGCTCAGCCAGCTGGCCCTTGTCGTATTCATCTTGCAGACTGACTTCAGTCAGCTCTGCCTCCCTTTCGGGGAGAAAACGGTGCCTCTTTTCAGACTCAAGGTGCTCTGCGTCCAAGGGGGGAGGAGGGGGAAACTCGATGTAGGCGACTCTGTTACTTTTGGGCCTTTGAACAGCATCTCTACCCCCACTGGAAGGCATATCCCGCTCAACTGTGGTTTCCTCCACTGTGACTGGCTGCAGGGAGGTGGACTTGGCCTGCTCCTCCTCCTCAGACTCCTCTGAAACCTCAGGAATTGGGCTGGGCTTGCCTGGTATATAAGCTATGAGCGAGTCTGGGGTCTTAGATGTAAATTCATAACTCACTTCCTCTGAGCTGGGTGTTTCTGGGGTTAAAGGGCTTTTCCCAGAGCTGTCTAGAAAAGATACTTGCTCTAGAGTGTCATCTTCTGGGCTACCTTGGGGAGAAGGAGGCTGCTTCTGCTGTCTAGTGGTATAAAAGGTCCCCCTCGTCTCTTGGACCGTCTTACACTCCTGACTTATGATCCTTTTCGCACCTCCTTGTTGTATCTCCTTTTCATATTGCTTCCCCACTTGTACAAAACTGACATAAACAGGTAATGCTTTGATCTCTTTCCCTCCCTCTGTCTGGGCTAGTGGTGCAAGTTTTTCCAAGGCATCAATGGGACTGTGGTCAAAGACATCACTAGAGGGAGAATCCTTTCCTGGGCTAAACTCTAAAGAGTCAGGAGATTTGGTGGGGGAAGTCTCAGTCTCCTCAAGAGGTGGGCATAAGCCTACATAACTCTGTTTGGAAACTTTGCTGATCTCTGAATAGGTAACCTTTTCATCTTCTACAGAATTAGAGTGCTGTGTCTCAACTGTCTCTTTGCTCATATTTGATGGGGGCAGCTTTTGCGATAGTTCATGTTTTGCAAGTGTCGACTGCTCACAGAAACCGTCAGGAATGCTGGAGGACAGTGCCCTCCTCTCCTCAGCAACTCTGACTGGAATATGCGACACTGCAGAGCTCTCGCTTCTCCTGGGGGGCTGCTCAAGAGCTCCCCCCGGATGGTCCCCGTCTTTCACAACATACTCCCTGTACAAGACCTTCTTGGAAGGAGATTTTACAGTCATTTCCTTAATTTCTGAGAGAGAGCCATTTGTTAACACCTTGTGTTCTCTCTCAGTCACAGATACAAATTCACTCTTTTGGTCAACACTTTTGCTTTCAGGGTGACCCACGTGATTCTCTCTCACATCATGAACAAGCACATGTGAAAGTCTGTCTTTCTGTGACTTATTGTTAGTGGCTCCAGAACTTTCCCACGTTCTAAAGACCTTTTTGTCCCATGGTCCCTTGGTTGCTAAATCTGGGGCTACACTGCATGCCAAGCCATTGGGCTGCTGCTCAGAGAGAGGGTCGGGCCCTGCTTTACTTGGCATTTCAGTCCTCTGCTTGTTCACGTCATCAGCGCCCGCATCATTTACGGCAGCTTCATCGCTCGGGGCGTGCTCCTCTTTCGCTTTTAATACCGTCACATCTTTCTGCACAGATACGCTCTCCTCTGAGAGACCGACGGCCTTCTGCTGTTTTTCTCTAGCCAGCACTTGATAGACAGGTAGCTTGCTCTCCTGTGGCTTTTTAACTGGGATTCTAGTTTGGCCATCTGGTTTTCTGTCTTCTTGAGTCGCATCCTTACTTTTTGCCTGTGTTCCTTGTTCAAATTTTAATCTAATGGAGCTGAGTTTTGATTGTTTGAGCTGAAATCCGGACTGGGGCCCTTCTGGTGCTTTGCTCTGTGAGGCGCTGCCTTTGGCTTCCGTGGTGGACTTGCCATCCCGGCTTGCTTGGGCAAGGGCTCTTTGCTCCGGGCTGCTGGGCGCACTGGAGGCTTCCCGGTCCTCGGCCTGGGGGAGGCCTTGTCCATCAGAGCCTTGCTGCCTCGCCTTAACCCACTCTTCATTGGATGCCAACAGTTCTGTTAGTACTTTCTCGGGGCTGCTACTGGTAGAGCTTTGAGAAGAATATTCTTTGCCATTTTTAGGGCGTGGCTTTTTCTCTGGGGACTGCAGTTCATCATTGAGCTTCTCGGTTTTGTCACGAAAAAACTGTGACACTTCAGTTAGTTTTTCTTCGGCCTCCTTCACGGTCCTGTCCACCCTATCTTCATATATCAACTTCTCTCTACCTCTGTCTAGTCTGTCCTCAGTCAAGCGCATCCACATGGCGTGTTTTGGACTACTAACATCGCCAGAATAGTGCAACACTGTCACTTTATCAAAATGCTCATCTTTAGACACTTTACCTACACCATTTTCAGATACATCTTTATAGATTTTGGAGAGAATTTCTTTTTTGGGGGCAGTGGCTACTTTTTCTCTGGACCGCTTATCGGACCCCTGTAACTCTGAGCTAGGGGGTCCTGTATGGTCTGTAACCGATTCCTCAGTGTCAGAGTGAGACACATCTAGCTTTTCTGACAGAAGCATTTTCTCAGCAAACCTGTAAGACTCCCCTCTTAGTTCTGACAACTCATCGTCATGGTACTCTACGGAGTGCTGACTCAGAAGCTTCAGGGTCTTGTAAGAGTCATCGGACATGAGCTGCGCAGAGCTAGGGCGGCTGTCTTCCTCTTGGGACACCGGAGTGTTTACCCTGGAAGACTCCAGGTACGAAGGCAACGACTCTTCCGCAGTGAGCTCTTCTTCTTCTTGCTGACCCTGTTCCTCTGGACAAGGAAAAGCATCGTGTTTCTCTGGCAGAAAATCTTTTAGGTTAATATCTCCCCGGGACAAGTCTTTCTGATACACATACATTTCCTTTTCTGGATGCGTTTTGGTTTCTCTAATAATGACTTCAGTGGGCTCAGCCTGGTTACCTTTTTCGATGTGGACTTCTATTATGCGCTCCAGTTTGGGTTTCATTGTGTTGTCCTTCTCTGCTTGCTGGCCAGCTGCTTCAGCAGCAGACTTGTGGACCTCTGGAGACACTGCCGACTTATGCTCAAACAGACCTGCCAGTTCTTTGGAGGGGTCCCGCCCGGACTGAAAGGCCTTCATGATGTCGTGGACGGACATGGTTTCCTCAATTCTTTCTGAGGCTCCGTCACTGCCGGGTGGAGAGTGGTAAACCGTTCTGGTAGTCGTGGTGATATGCGTCTCTTCCTTAACACGCATGCCTTTGCTCAAAACCCGGCTGTGGTCATCTTCCTCACTATTGGCTTTCATTTGAAATGCTTTCACTTTTTCTTTAATACTGGAGGTGGTGGGCTTTGGCTCTAGTTCCATAAACGCTGGCGAAGGTTTGGGTGACACAGGCTCCTCTGGTTGGGACTGGGGAACGTCCCCAGAAGAGGGCTCATAGCTCCTGATCACATGGACCACTTCAGTCCTTGTTTCTGTAATGACAGGGGGGATGGGGACTTCGTGAAAAAGTGGTTTGGGACCAGTGCTCTCTGCACTCTGTGGGGCCGAAGGGGTTTTTTCACTTCTTGTTTCAAAGCCACTGTCAGACAAGGGACTTTTATCTTGGTCATGTTGAGAAAAGTCATCTGGAGACTCTAAAATAGTATCTGTTCCGAAAAAGGAGTCAGCCATTTTACATAATTCCTTCTCAGAGGTGGAAGGCCTCACGGAGGCTGGCGGCATTTTGAGTTTGTGCTCCTGCAGGGCCATGGCTGGTTTCAGAATTCTTTTCTGTCTCTCCTCACCATCCTTCTTTGCATCCTCAAACTTGTACTTTAAGTTTGTTAGTGAACTGCTCCCGATATCGTTGGTCAGGTAATCGATGACTTTGGTCAAGTTGTAATCCTTGTCAGAGGCAGCCTTTGCCTTCACCTGCACTCTCTCTGGCAGGGATGGAGAATGGCTCGCTGCGGCGTGTTGTCTGGCTTCCCTTATTTCCTCGGAACTGAATTCTATCCAGTCGTCTTCAGGAGAGGGTCCTTTGTCACTCTTCGGTGACTTGGGTGGGCCTTTGCTATCTACACATACATCCTTTTTAAGGATTTCACTCACTTTCACTAAGTCTTCTTTTACTTTCTCCACAATTTTGAAGGGTTCTTCATCATCAATTCTCCCCTCTCTGGGGAGTTCAGGCTGGAATGGTTTCTCCTCAGGCACATCTGTCTGTAGTATTGCAGTCATCCGCATCAGGTCCTCCTTCATCTCAGCCACATCTTTGAGGATCTCCTGACTGGACGATAAAGAGGACGGCGTGGACAACTTAAGGGCTGAGGGTGTGAGGAATAAAGATGTCTTCACAGGAGATGGGGTTCGACTGAAATGGGGCTGTGGACGTGTCTCCATAGTCAATGTTTTAATGGGTGACAGCAAGGCAGCTGCTGATTTTGTGAGTGAGTTAGGGTCTGGAAGTTTCTTTAATGCTGGTTCTGGCAAAACATTGACTACAGAGTAAACTGGCACTGTGATTATGGATGAAGTTACAGATGAGGTAGCTGCAGAAAGTGACGGCCCGAGGGATGCGTAGAGTGCACTTGCGGAAGGAGTCCTCAGGGACTGAAAACCTGACGGTGCTGCAGAAACAGAGGACCTGAGTGGGGAAAATGGCATCGCTGTTGTGGTAGAAAATACCTTCGCAACTGCGTCAGTGGCTGCGGTGGCCACAGAGCTCACAGAGTTTGTAGCTGCAGAAATTTTGTCCTGTAATGTGGCAGTGGCTTTGCACCCATTAATTAAAGTTGAAGCTGATGGGTATTTCAGAGGAGAAATAGAGCCATTGACTAAGGCTACCTCTGCCTGTCCAGGGATCTGTTTCAAGGGTGATGAGAGGGAAGATACTGTTGTAACTTTAGCTGATGAAATGACATCAACTGCCGATTTAGCTGGAGACACCACTGCCTTTAAGGGTGAAGATATTAGAGGTGCTGCTGATGTAATAATTGACTTAAATGGCAAACTTGAGGAATACATATTAATATTTGATTTCGGGGAGGCAGGGGGTGTCATGGTAATTGATGACCTCTCCAAAAGAGACCCTGCTGTCGTCACGGGAGAGGTTCGAGACGAAAACGTAGCATTTGGCGCCAGCCCTTTAAGGGGCACAGTCTCCGTGACTGTGGGAGCTCTCCCCAGGGTACCAGAGGCAGCTTGGATGCTGTATGGAGACTGTGACACCACTGTTTTTATCGGCGAAGACATTGTCCGAAAAGATCTAATTGGAGATGCCACGTCACTAATGGATTTAACTGAAGATGTGGTTGACGCGCCTAACGTGGATTTGATTGGAGAAGGAGTCGAAACAGACCATATGGATTTTAACGGAGAAGCTGATGGCGTATTAGAGGAAGAACTTGATAAGGAAGTGAGGCCTGACTTGGCCGGCCCGGGCACTGTAATTGGAGCAGTTGTCCAGGACTGGTAGGGTCGAGTAGAAAAGAATGGCTTGTACGAGTAAGTGGTAGGGAGGGATCTTGCTGCTCCTGCACTCCGTTCAACTGTTTCTTAAATTTAAAATGAAATCAAACACAAAAATCAACAAAAATGGTTGAGAAACAGAGAGACCAGAGAAAAAAATTGGTCAGTAAACTTTGAAATATTACAAAAGCAAGTACAATTGTTTGCATGATTTAGAAATGGAAGAGGCCAACGGAACAATTAAATGAGAGGGAAAGTAAATTTCTACAGACATAACCAAAAGGTAAAAAAAAAAAAAAAAGAAAAAAAAGAAAATGACTAAATAAATAAAAACAGAGCAATGGGAAATGAAAGACAAGAAAGGCACATTGCAACCAAACAGGCCAACAATGAAAAATAGAAGACATGAGGAAAGAATTAATGATGAGAAAAATAACCACAATGGAAAACTGTTCCTTTACTTCCTATTGACTTTCTTATGTGCTGGTATTGAAATTTCAGTAGTCATTCTGCTTTGCCTGTACAGGAATGCTTGTTTTGTGCAACCACGGCACTCTCGTTTTAATAATTTCTACTGTTCACTCTTCCCAAGCCCTTCCATGTTACAGAGTGCACCTCCTTAGAACCATTTGATCAGTGAATCTGTACATTAAATAGCTCAAATTCTTTGTTTAGAAATCCACTCCAGCCTATTTCATGCAGAATCTAGAAACTATTAAGAGACAGGCAAATGGTGTGCAAACTGTGAAGCCAACGGGCTGTAACTCTTTGTCTTCCATGCACAAGTAGGTTATGCTCCACACCCATAAAAAGCCAATAAGAGCAAGAAATTTTCTAAGTCAGAATCTTAAACCAACAAAAGGAAAACAAAACAAAATAAAAAGGAATGTTTGCATTTATCTTTTTCATGCAGTATATTCCTTTTGATGAAGAGGAAAAGAAAATGTAACATGAAATGAATATAAAATGCATGTGTACACACAAAGGTGGGCAAAAAACTAGAAAATAGGGTCCATGGTTACCATAAGCAAGCAAAGCAACTGAAAACATTTGATCATGCGCAGTATATCATGGCAAACAAGCCAATGAAGTAATACAATTTGTATGCCGTATTATGCATAATATATCACCTTTAAAAATACTGTCACAAGACCATTTAGAAAGAAGAGTACACTTTTTCCATGAGATGTGAAGACTTGGTACCTTTTGAGATTTTAGAAAATTATTTAATACTGTATATTATAAAATACATCTGCAATTAAATATATCCATGTTATTGCTGTCATTATGAATAAAAGCACATAGTTTACTGCATATGTTTCATAATCTTTCTACTTTTAATTATCAAAAGGTATCATGGGGAAAATCAAAGTTGTGTTCTTAACATCTATATTGAAGGACCTCTGGGATATGATATACATGGAGATGTAGGTATACGCTTATAAATCACAGGTGCTAATTCTGGTGCTTTCTAAGAATATTGATGGGACTCATTGATACCCCACACTAGAACAGCCGTGGGGCAGACCTACCACTAGGAAAGACAGAGGTAGAAGCAGGGTTCCTTTTGCCATGGGGCAAGGAACACACCAGTGAAGTGAGCACACTCGCTAGAGACAGCAAGCACATGCTTAGTCCTCTCCACTTCTACAACTCTAACAAAGAAACTGAGCTTGTCATCGAGATTGCAAATGCCTGCCAAGGATGAATGTTCTAGGTCCAAGTTGAGCATAGGTTTGCTCCAAGAAAACAATGGTTCAGAATAGTGAAACCTGAAACGAGAATCTGCTTCGGCCACTCTACGTGCCACTGCTACAGTCCTGCCTTGGTCAGCAGGTTCTCCTGCAAGAGCGAGCATTTGCAGTCCTCCTGTATGTGCTAAGTCACATATGCAGAACACACGTGCTTGCTAGGCTCACATGTTATTCAAAAGAAAATGGAAGCAGTACGGAACAATTCATCTATCCATTGTCCCTTCTTAGCCGTACTTCTCAGTAGTATGCTGCTTCACTCTTTGGGGCAGTGCCACATTACAAGTGGTGATTTGGGGAGTCCTTGGGTTCAGTCCTTTGCATTTAGTCCATATCTTCAAACAATCATCTAGTACTGGGAATTGAACCCAGAGCTGCAAGCACAAAAGGCAAGTGCTATACTGCTGAGCTGTACTGCCAGCCCTTTTTTATTTTTATGAGAAAGGATTTCACCAGATTATCCAGGCTGGCCTTGAATCTGCAGTCCTCCTTCCTCAGCCTTCTGAGTGGCCAGGATTCCAAGTGTGTGCCCCTGCTCCTGCTACAGGAGAAAGCCTGTGTGACTTGCAGGTCTCATTTCTCTTGTATTTCCCATTTGTTACCAAAATATAAAAGCTCTCCTAACAGTCAAGGAACTAGACTCTAGAAGGCTAAGGATGTCTGACCTAAGCAGTGAAGTAGTTTCTTCCTACATATTTCATACGCTAGATTGGTTCAGAGAAAAGAATAAGAAAAGTGGGGAAAGTGAAGATTGTGGGCTCTTCTGGTAAACTCCTGAAACTTCCTGAGATCAAGTTAAATGTGAGGCCATGGGAAACAACGAGGAACCACTAATTAGAGGAAATTTGTGCGTAAATCTTCCTCCAAATGAAGTCCCTGGATGCTCAAAGTGTCGTAGATCTATCAGAGACAGTGCTGCCCTTTGCTGAGCTCCCGGGGGGGGGGGGAGGGCACTGCCTTGAGGGCTGCGCTGAGCATCAGATGTGACAAGCACAAAGTGGTAGGAAGGAAAGAGGAAGCAGAAAGAGAGAATGAATGGGACGGAACGAATCTCTGCCTTCCTCAGAAGCCAGTTTCCCAAGGAACAAAAACAATCATCAAGAGGAAAGGATTTAATCAGTCTCATGCAGACAAGCCTGAGAACTAACGCTTCCACAGAGAATGGACAGGAGATGAAATCAGAGCTGTCTGCAACCCTAAGAAGGTGAGGAGATAAAATTCTTGCAAAGTGAAAAGGACCTGGGACTAGCACACAGTCTATATTAAGATAAGCGAGGTGACATTCAAAGCAACTTTCCTATCCTTTCTCCTGTCCCAAATACACAGAAATAGATGCTATTTTCCCTTTTGAGCACAGATCTAAAGCAACATTGCCCCTCAGCCCTGCGCATAGTTGACGACCATCAAGTAAAATGAGTGGCACGAGAAGATGACTCTTTCCAAGCTGTCGCCCACATGCATTTGTGCCGTGTATAGTCAACTGTATACAAAGTATGCCCTAAACTTTACTGTAGGGGTTTTCTGCAATTTTTTCTTTAATAATTGAGTTTCCACATGACACTAAAATTTAGTTTGTATAGAAAAAATGGTCTCTTCTTACAAACAAATTCCACACAGATTAGTAAATGTGTTAGCAAACTCACTCATTGCAGGCTCAGCCAAGTAGCTGTAGCGCTTACGTAAAGCTAAAGATGCAAAGCTCTGTCGTTTATCTGCCTTCTCAGTCTGAAAAAGAAAAGAAAAACAGACTCTTTCCAGCTTCTTGGTGACATTTTCACAATTCTGATAACATTTTGTAGGATGGCATGTCGATATTTTGTTTCTCCTTATTTTTCTTCTTTAGCATTTTCCTCTTGGAAAAAGTGACATTCCTCCTGGGATCGTCCAACCCCAGCTCAACATCTCAACCAAGTGACCACAGTTTGGGGAACACAGCAGACTACAGGGAACTACAAGAAAGACGGGGATCACAGAGACTCCTGACACCGGGCAGTAGGGACGCCCAGAGTCGGCCCTTCTGAGAGCACACACGCCACAAAGTACACTCACGACGTGAGTACATTCAAGAGAAAGAGGCACACACAGCTGACTACCCCAATTCCCATGGCGTTTTCTGCATGTTAATAGGTGTAAAGTACACAGGAAGAGATGAAAAACATTGGAATGGTTTTACTAGCAGTGATGTCACTGGGTCCTGGGGCTGCTATTGCCGACATGTGGGGCTTTAGGTCCAACTAGCATGGAGCTTGGAGAAATGCTAGGAGATAACTTCAGCAAAATTCTTTAAAGGTTAACAATTTGACTCTTTCAGAATGGTCAAGATACATTTCTCTAGCTAAGGTAGCAAATACCTATCAACAACAACTGGCCAGGCAACGTAAAACATTAGCTAACTGCTACAGCAAAATTTAATACATTAACCATGATCTTGATGTAAAAGCTATAACAGAGCATATAATAGGATAGGAGTGGATAATACAATATGCAGGCAAAACTGAAAAGAAAATTATACATGCCCGTCCACCATATTTAATAAGGTTTAAGTAATTTTAGCTTTTCTTTTAAAACCATTAGTTGCATTACAGTTTTATGTACTACCCTGATATACTCTTAGGCAGATGTGGAGAGAGTAAACTACTTCTAAAGAAAAATATGTATTCTTTACGTCACATGAGCTAAGACCTACAACAAATACAACATTTATCTCCCACACTGTAGCCCTCTGCCATACATTTCAATATCTGTCCTACTTCTGGTAGAATAAAAGCAGAAGTGTTGGTATTACCTCATCATCTTGGTCTGACTCTGTCTCCTTTTGGTCCCAAGATGCATTGCAGAGACAAGGAATATTATAATGGACAGCAGGGAAAAGAATATCAGGATATGAGAAGGACCAAGTAGGGAGCACAAAATGCAAGCTGGTTTAGAAAGCAAAGCAAATCAAAAGGCAACAACAACAAAAAAAATCAAGAACGATACATCCGCAGCAAATCAACGTGTGATGCTATCTGAAAGCATAAAAAGTCTATGAACTAGCAGCGGAAGCAATAAACAGAGGACTCTGTCATACAAACTAAAAGAATGTGACACCACAATAACAAGACTCAGTCCATCTACACAAGGAGACTAATAAAATGTGATTTTTGAGAGCTTTAATTCTGTCACAAAGCATTCCTTCATTCCACACCAAGGGCCCGCTTCTTCAAGACCAGGGAAACAAGTCAAAAATGAACCAGTGTTAAAAGATACCTTTTTATGTGCTGGCAGGGTAATATTTAAGTTGCAAACAGCTGTTTGAGGCAGTCCTTTCGTTGTCTTTGGTTCTTTCAGAAAAGACAGACGACCACAGGGCTCTTGGCTGGTGTCTCTAATCTAGAAGAATTTAGGTAGTTGATAGTTATAGAAAAAGACCTTTCTGAGGATTCATGCCTGTGTAAGAGTTAAATGTGCTTGTTCTATGAAGACTTCTTACAGATAAGAAATGTAAAAGGAAAAGATGACAATGACAGGTCAACCAGGTGGTCATCGTTGAAAGGGGCAAGACCTACCAGCCCAGTTCTGAGCTTAAACAATAGGATTGCTGTGTCTGCTCATCTTAGCTTCAAAATTCATAGAAGCGTCTGGAGTATATGGATTTGTTCCTGCTTAACAATTTCTTTCTCTCAAAGCTTCAATTTTTGTAACATAAAATGCTAGCAGCAGATAAAAAAAAATAATGAAACAACTATCCTGATGTCTGTTGTCTAAGGAGGAAGAGGGTGGCTCAAGAATGTCTGTGGTCTCCCTCAGAAATGGAAATGAAACGACCACAGAACCTGGATTTCATCCATTTTTTTTTGATTACTCAACATTAACCAGTTATGGTGAATTTATTCTTGATTGTTTGGTTTTACAAACAATTCCTTAAATATAACAACTCATAGTTTAATGTATTTAGTACAGGGTCTCACTACACAGATTGGACTCATAGAGATCCTACTGTTTTTAGCCTCCCAAGCACAGGGATCATAGGCGCATGTGATCCCAGTCTCAACTGTGGTCTCAGTGTGCCCTGGGGGTGGAGCCAGCACAGCATGCCAGGAATTGAACCCCGGTCCCAATATCTGGGTGGTGAGGTATCTGACCGGCCCTCATACATTTTTCAAAAAGTAAGAACTGCTTTTTTTTTTTTTTTTTGGCGGAACGGGGGACTGAACTCAGACCCTTGCGCTTGTGAGAAAAGCACTTATTCTACTGAGCCATCTCCCTGGCTCAAGAACTGCTTTTACTAGGTAGAAAGCTTTACTGAATCTGATCTTGTTCTTAGGAGTTCAGGTTTGGTGGAAAATGTCAAGCTAAATCATGAAAACCTTTTCTGTTAATTCTCTAAGAGCTTTGTTTTTACTGATTCAGTTTTTTAAACTCACAGTCTCTGCAGAAGATGATTTACCTTGATGGAAAATGGCAGTCTATTTTCTTTAAAAGCATAAAAGTTAAAAACCAGTTGCTGTCCTCCTTTGGTAAGAGGGGCCAGGTTTCCATAACAATCGACATAAATGGGCTTTCCTTCCAGAACCTTTAGATAAAAGAAATGCATAATTTAGTACTAATTTAAATGAAGAGAATTCTGAAATTTTAAATTGTCTGATATTAAAAGACATGTTGTCAGATTTGCCTCCTTTTCGGAAATTACTTCTGTGATGTTATTTGCATAAAAACCATTTGGTAGAGTTGGAGTGCAACAGCTGTGACTGGAAATTATTACTATGGGCATGTGCAATATCGAATTATGTCTTATTGTCCTTACACTTTTAATCATGTTTGAGAAAGTGCCTGATGTCATCACTTATTCTTACTGACTTTGAGAATTTTGTTTTTAGTTTTGGATACCTACATGATCACTGGGTCAGAGAAAGGAAAATGATAGTAATTCATGTCCACTGTGACAATGAAAATAAGGCAAGTCAAGTAGCAATGATGTGGATTTCCTCATGCTACGTTCTAACCAGAAAAATAATCTCACAGATGTTTAAAAGAACTTGGGAATGAACATACATCAACTTCTAAGTCAAAGTGAAATCACCAATGTGCTTAATACTCAGTGACTGCTGGTAGGGCCTCAGCAGAGAAACCCGTGTCTGGAGAAAGCCATTAGATGGAATTGTACCTCGATATCTTTGCTTCTTGCAACTTCCTCAAAATTCTCTTGTTGCTCTAATGTTTTGTCAACTTTGTCATCTGTCATGCAGAAACACCGCAGGGAAGATTCCACTGGATCATTCATTTTGGCAAACACAACAAACTTGGCCATATACGGGACGCATATTAACTCTCGGTACAGCTGTGTGGCTAACCCGACAGTCTCCAAAACTTGATGGCAGTCTGCTAGCCAAAATCTAAGATAAACAAAACAGAAGCATATGGATATGATACAAAAGCTCCATTTGTTTGATTTTTTTAAAAATCCCTCATTAATTTGAAAAAAATCAAGAGCTGGGGACATAGCCCAGTGGCAGAGCACATCTTAGCAGGTATATAGGCCCCGAGTTTGGTCTTTTGCAGGAAAACAAGTTACAAACTAAAATCATGATAAGGCAATTAAACTATAATACTGTTTATTTAATTTTTATTTATTTATTTGGTACAGGGTCTCGCTACGAAGCTTGACTTGTACTGATCCTGCTGTCTCAGCCTCCCCAATGCTGGGATTATAGGTGTGCACCACCATACCCAGTATTGGAGGCCAGCTCAGTGCGGGGGGCCTGCCAGGCATGCAGTACCAGGGATTGAAACTAGTACTTGTGCTTGACAGGCAGGCGCTTAGCCCAACGCGCCATCTCCCCAGCCCCAACTTGTCTACTGAAACAGCAAAGACGTTCACCCTCGTCATCACACAGAAAACTTGTATTTATTATTTGATAATAGTTTTGCAAGTAAATATGAAAGATTCTCCTTTCCCCAAAATGGAAAATAAATAATATAAAACTAGCACAGCTGCAGAGCACAATGGTTTTCATGTCCCAAAAGGTAATAAATATACCAATTCTTCAGTGCGTTTCGGAACCTGTGTTTTCATACCTGGCTGAAACATTGGTTGTGAAAGAGACGCAATCCTTTATAAACGTCAAAGGCGTCGTTCCTGTGATGTCCTCCCATTGAGCAGGCGAAGTGCCCCCTGGGGACAGGAGCAGACCATGTGGATTTGTACATTTCATTTAGGAGGCATGCACTGGACGTGTTTTATTACCACCCGCTCGGCCCCCTGCATAGCCAGTCCCTGTAAAGACTTCAGACGCTTTTCCGGTTGAGTGCCACATATGAAAGGTCGATTTCTTCTCTATTCTTTTTTTACATGTTTACCAGCTTAGAATGTTCCCTTTGTAAATTAGTATGTAATCCTGTTGATTTTGAGGTGGGTCTTACTCTGTCCCCCAGGTAGTTCTCAGACTCTTGGGCTCCAGAGTTTTTCGTCCATTGGCCTCCTAAGTACCCGGGGCTACAAGCGTACAGCACCACACCCAGCTCCCTGTCATTAATTTTTAACAAATATTCTTTGGTATTTACCTAGGCAATAATGAAGCCTTAAACCACAACCACAATTCACACGTATATTTTGTTTTCCATCTGTGAGTGTAACAATTTGTAGTTCAGTAGAGATAATGGAAGTCTCTTTTTAAAAAAGTCTCTTAAAGTGTTTTTAAAAGTCTCTTAAAGGAAAAAGAATTATCAAGAACATTCATGAAGGAACTCTTTTTTTTTTTTTTTTTTTTGAAGGACAGGGTCTTGCTATTAATTCAGGTTGGCTGTGAACTCACAGCAGTCCTCCTGCCTCAGCCTCCTAAGTGCTGGGATTATGGGTTTGCTTCACAAATTTGGCTAGGAAGGAACTCATTTCATACCTGCCTGAACCATTTGTTTTTCCAGGGAAAAGGTGGACTCTTCCATTAAAATTACTCCTCAACAAATAAAGCCTACCCCCAATGATCTGGGGCTTTAGTCAGCAATCAGGTCAGGGCAGGCAAAGGTGAATGGGGGTCTGGATTCCCGGCGCTGTGGTCTCCCAAGCCCTGGACGTTTAGCTCTTGGACCGCTCTGGAACCGCGGGAATGAGAGTGCTCACGCGCCCAGCCCTTCCCTGCCCCCGGGGCTCTGTGGGCGCTCGGTTTTCCCCACCGTCAGCCCAAGTTCCTGGCAGCCTAGTGGACACAGCTGCTTCACTGCTTGCATCTGTATCACTGAGAAACTTCCTAATGGCTCTGTCATCTTAAAAAAAAGTATTCTGAGAATAAAAGGGATGAGGTGATACCAAAGAATCAATACTTTACACTCGATAGCCTACTGGTTTACTGTTGGCACACACATTTCAGAGGTTTGAGGTCGCTGCCTGGAATGCCTGCTCATCAACAGGAAGCAGCCAGGCTGGGGGCCCACCTGTGATGCTGCAGAGCAGGCGTAGGTTGGGCGTGGCATCGCCCTGGTATCCGTTGGCGACACCATCTCCGGAGGGCGGGGGCACGGGAATGGTCATGGTGATTGGCTTATGGAATTTCCTCCTCCTGGGCTCCACAGTGACGATGGGGCTGAAGGTTGCTTTGTTTCCCAGGATCTTTTTCACGATCTCCTCCGGAACAGGTTGGGCCTACGGAAAGCAAAAGGAGCGTAAATGAACTCAGACATTTTTTTTTTTTCTCCAACAGAAAGTTGACTTTGCATACAGGAAAGGCAACGGCCTGACATACCGTGACAACAACAAAAGCTCCTCTGCTGTATCTTTCCTACCTCAGGAAGGCGTGCAGACAGCACCAGAGGGGCTGCCCGCAGCTGGGGCAGGTCAGCCTGTCTCCTCAGGCAGAGTCCGACGGGCTGGCTTGCTCAGAAACAGGCAGCTGAGTCTCAGAGCAGAGAAGCTCCTAGAGCTAATCCACAGCCCGGGACCACAAATATTTAGTTCCGTGTACTTTAAACGTACGCAGAACGTTCCATAAAACCTCACAAAGTCAACTTGTGCCTACGCCAAAGTTGGAACAGAAAGGGCACCCAATGTGTCAAAGGATTGGCATTCTAGTGTATGAGCCCAACTTGTTCCTCTCCAGTCTGGTAAAATAATTTGGCATGAGCGACGGGCAGGGCACTCCACACCCCCAAAGGTAAGGTCCAGGCTCTTCAAAGGCGCTTCAGGGTGTAGCCTGCGGGTCTGGGAAGAACCTAACCGCTCCCCAGAGAGCCATTTCAGCCTCACAAAAAGCACAAACTTCCAGCAAAACTCCTGCTGACCACATTAATTAGCACCTTAAGATGAGTTGCCACAGTTGCAGCTCATGTTCCTTATTCAATAAGGAGATAAATAACTAGCTAAGGTCTAACTAAAATGAATAAACATAGATACCATTTGTGCCGAGATTTTCAGTCTGCTTTCTAAACCAAAAGAAGTTTAAACTGGATTGGCTGAAACCTAGTACTTAGGATGTTCTTAAACCCAACCAGGAAGGCCATGAGCTTCACTCTGCCTGATTTTTATGATGCCATATGTTATAATCTAAGGTTCAGGACGCTGTACTACATGCCGAGACAACAACCTGTGGGTAAACATGTCCTTCCTCAGAAACCTACTGAGACTTGAACAGAAAAGCTCCAAAGTACAGAATCGTTTTCAATTGGACACTGATCTGCCTTTATACTGCATGCTTCTCTCTTGACGCTGGTTACTCATTTCCAGAATGGTCTGATTGGCAGTGCCCTGAAGGGTGAGTCAGGATGACAGCGTCCAGAGCAGAACACCCGGCCCTTGGTCTGAGCTGAGGAAAGCAGCACATGGGACAAGGGCGCGCTGAGCCCTACCTGGAGCCCCACTCGAATTCGCTTGGTCAGCGCCCCCTCTGGGAAGGATGCTTGCACCAGGGGCACGGTGGTGCTGCTCAGGATCCCGCCTTCCGGCCCAATCTGGTTGCTTTCCTGCTTAATCCGAGAAACCACTGCAAAGTACTGGGGGAAATCCTTGGTGATGATTCTGCAGATCCGCTTTTTCCCGAGCTCTTCCGGGCTGTCAAGCTCTGAAAAGACAAAGAAATGAAAAGGCCTCGAACACGTGCACATGAACAACATACCTTGAGACAAAGGAAACAGAATTGGTCTTTTTTTTTTTTTTTTTTGCTGTACTAGGGATCAAACTTGGGAACTTGTGCTTGCCAGGCAGGCACTTAACCCACTGAGCTATCTCCCCAGCCTCATTTTAATTTTTAATTTAATTTTTACTTTTTAACTGATAAATAAAAATATAAAACTTGTGTTAAAGGGTGCCACTTCAGCTCAGGTATACTTTGCAGTGTCTAAATTAGATTAAATACATCTAGGTCTCAAATGTGCATCAGTACTTTATGGGGAAAACTTTGCAAATCCTTCCAGTGTTTTGTTTCTTTTTTCTCTAGACAGGGTCTCGCTGTATAGTTCAGGCTGGCCTCAAATTCTCGCTCCTCTGTGGCAGCCTCCCGAGGGCTAGGATAATGGGTGTGCGCCGACTTCTACCGGCTTGAAATGCACAGTATGTTAAAGTCACCTGCACTCCACCACAACTTGGCGCTCCCACCTCACTGTAGCAAAGTCTGCACTGCCCAGCCTCCCCCCGCCCCACACTGGCAGTCACCACTGTACTCTGAACTTGCATGCAGTTAGCACTCCTAGATCATGGGTAGAGTGAAGTCAGGTGGTAGGCGTTCTTCCACACCCGAGTTACTCCCCAATTCTGATAAACACTTCTCTCTCTCTCCCCCTCCTTCCTTACCCCCTCCTTTCCTTCCTCCTGCTCTCCCTCCCTTCCTTTTGTTCTTTTTTTTTTTTTTTTTTAGTACTGGGGATCAAATTCAGGGCGTTGTGCATACACAAGGGCTCTACCACTGAGATACACCTCCCAGCCCTGACAAATTTATTTCTGTTCAGTAGCCAAAACACATTTTTTTTTGTATTGATAAGAAGAAAACTATAATGATCAGCAAAGAATATAAAGCATGAGCTGAGATATAGCTCATGGTCTAAGCATCTGCCTGGCAAATGCAAGGACCCGAGTTTGATCCCCAGTACTGCATGCTGAGCCAGCCCCAGAACCCCCCCTCCCCAAACCCCGGGGTGCAATGAGCTGGCCACCAAAACCAGGCATGGTAGTGCATGCCTGTAATCCCAGTGCTGGGGAGGCTGAGACAGGAGGATCACTACTAGTCCAAGCTACATAGCAAGACCCTATACCAAATAAATAAATAAATAAATTTTAAAAATTTGAAAAAGAATGTGAAGCTTTTCAAAAATATAGTACTGCAGGTACAGTGGTGAAGGCAGGAGGGTCACTGTGAGTTTGAGGCTAGACTGGGCTACAAAGTGAGCTCAAGGCCAGCCTGAACTGCACAGTGAAACCCTGTCTCAAAAGGACCGAAAAGAAAAAACAAAAAAGGTGCTATTATAGTACTTGCATAAAATAATTCCACTGAAGAATTAGCGTCTTAGAAAACTGGCATTTACCCACATAAGGATTAATTTCCACTCCCAAGAAGATATTCTGTTGACATTGTAATCTATCATCAAAGCTGACAGAAGCAGGTATGAGTTGGAAAAAAGTGGAGCTTCCCTAAAGAGCAGTATGTGGACAAAGCTCTAGAACTTCCTTGGAAAACTCAAATATTTCTAAACTAGGCAAATTATTGACACCACCACCTATTTCCATCTGCCCTGTGACAGGCATCAATCTCAAGCTATCCACAGATGTGCGCCTCTCCTCCTCCCCTCCTGCTTCCTCCGTGTCCTCGCTCCAGCAGAGAACTCACAGGGCTCCTGTTCTTGACTCTCTCGCCTTCATACCTCAGGTCTAAGGGTCCCAGTGCTGTTGCTTCTGTCCTGCGAATGGCGCCCCCTGGCCCCCCAGGGCTCGGGGTTTCAGCCTCCTTGAGGTAGGAAGGACACTTCCTAACCAACTATCTAGTCTTTATCCACCTGCCTGGACTTTAGTCCATCTCCCCTCTAGTGTATCCAGGGGGGTTTTCTTCACTGTCATATATTATGCAGAATTCTGCTAAATTTA